ATAAAGTAAATGAAACTTAACATCTATACGTATATATGTGTACGTGTTTTAACACGTACGCATATTTACGTATATTCACGTACGTTTTAAGTACGCATTTTATACGTATATATGTGTACGGGTTAAAACATGTACGCATATTTACGTATCTTCACGTATGTATGTACGTATGTATATACATATATATATATATATATACCTACTTACATTTACGTATAAAAACGAGAATAAATTGCGGTAATATTTATATATATAGAGATGCATTACGTAAAAAAAGTGATATAAATGGTACAAAAATTGAAACTTAACACGTATACGTATATATGTGTACGTATTAAAACACGTACGCATATTTACGTACGTTTTACGTACATATTTTTATATGTATATATGCGTATGGGTTTAAATACGTACGTTTTACGTACATATTTAATACGTATATATGTGTACGTACAAAAACCCATACGCATATTTACGTATCTTTATATATGTTGTACGTGTATATGTGTACGTATGTATATACGTATATATATATACCTACTTACATTTACGTTAAAAAACGAGAATAAATTGCAATAACATTTATATATATAGAGATGCATTACGTAAAAGAAAAGAGATATAAATAGGTACAAAAATTAAAACTTAACACGTATATGTATATATAGAGATAGATACATACATATAGATATAGATAGATACATATATATATATAGAGAGAGAGATATATAGATACATATATATAGAGATAGATAGATACATATATATATATATATATATAGATAGAGTATTTATCGGTGTTTCCATAGTGGCGGCAGACGGTGGTGGATGGTGGCCGATGGTGGCAGTTCACAGTGGTCGGTGGTGGCGGAAGGTGGTCGATGTCGTTAAACGGTGGTGTATGACGGTATATCGAAGAATGGTGGTCGTTTTTGGTCGGGATGGTCAGTGGGGATGGGCCAAGCTAGGTTTTTCGCTCGGTTTTTCTTGAGAAAACGACTGGTGGTGGGGATGGATGGTGAACTTATGGTCCCCCACCGCCTATTTATATAAAATGTTAAGTAATAAAACAAAATTCATCGTTAAATCGGCGTTAAATCGACGTCATAGAGGTGTCATTAAATGAGAAAACGCGAAATCAGATATAATGTCTGTTTTTTCTCCAAAAATCAGCTAATTTTTTTTTCGTAACCACAATTATCATTGTCTTATTTTATAACGAAAAACCATGAAATTTTAAATTAAATACGTAAAAAAACACAGTTTATGTATTGTTTCATTTTTATTAAAAACACCCCTAAATTGTCAAATCAAAAACACAAAATGACGAAATAGAGGTCAAATTTCGTAAATAAGATATTATATATGATTTACGAAACCCAAATCAGATAAAAATAATTTTTGCGTCTCCATAATTATCATGGTTTATTTTTAAACTTTTAACCATGAAATTTGGTTCTAAAAAAGTTAAAAAAAATACAATTTAAATGACGTATCAGTTTTATTAAAAATACCGTAAAAAATCAAAAAAAAAAAAAAAGAATTAAAGGCTGGATCGCCCCCCGGGGGTGATCAGTGTGGGTACTTTCGTAAACCCTCTAAAACTTGGTTATTTTTGTGCAAGTGAGTTGTATAAAATGGTTAGTTTTGTCATTTTTCTTTTCTTAGTCTCTGTCGATTTTATAATAAGATTTTATGTGGTTTTGAGCAAACATTAATGTTTTTTTAATAAAATACAAATTTAAGAATATCATAAAAATTAAAAAAATTAAAAAGTTTTCATTTTTCTGTATAATTTTTTAAATTCAAAATTTTATTATAATTTAATTTAGATTTAATAATGAAATCAATTTATTTCTGGTTTAATAATATAATTTTCATAAAGATAGTAAATAAATATTTTGTTAGAATTCAATAATTATTCTAATTATATTTTATATTTAAAATGAGAAGTTTATCTGGTATTTAGTTATATTTATCTACAGTTACTTACATGAATTCAAACATGAAACTTAATAAGTTGTACTTACGTACAATTTGCTTGTAATATTGAATTTTTAAGTAATATGGATCAATAAACAGTACTTCATATATAAAAGATGATTTTTAAAAGTTTTTGTCAAATGCTTTATAATATAGCATAGATATTATTAAATCAAAAAAAAAAATTATTTCGTTATTAAATCTCAATTAAATTATAATAAAGAAGTTAAAATTAAATAAATTACATAAAAAACAAGAATTTTAAAATAGTTAAGTTGATATTAATATTGATATATTTATTTTAAAAATTTTATTATATCTTCAAATTTATATTTTATTCAAAAATAAAAATTATCCTTTTTCAAAACCACATAAAAACTGCATTATAACATTTACAGAGACAGAATAAAATGAAACACTAAAATCGAGATATATCTCGTTGCATTGTACGAGTATCCTTCTAGTTCTAATTATGTCTTAGAATTTTTAGACTTAAATAGAGATGTTTATCCTCTATTTGATTATATTTATCTACAGTTAGTTAAACGAATTTAAACATGAAGCTTTAATAAGTTGTATTTACGTATAATTTACTTGTAATCTTAAATTTTAAGTAATATGCATTAATAGACACTTCATGCATAAAAAATAATTTGAGTTTTTGTCAAATGCATATAATATAGTACTAGAAGAGTACTCGTGCAATGCAGCGAGACACATCTCGATTTTAATGTTCTATTTTATTATTTGTCTCTGTCGATGTTATAATACATTTTATGTGTTTTTAAGAAAACAATAATGATTTTATTTTTGAATAAAATATAAATTTAAAGATATCATAAAAATTTGAAAAAAAATATATCAATGTTAATATCAAATCAACAATTTAAAAGTTCTATTTTTTTAATTTATTTTTTAATTATACTTTAATTTAAGTTTAATAACGAAATAATTTATTTTTGTTGTAATAATATAACATTTTATAAATATAATAATTAAGTATTCTGTTAGAACTCAATAATTATCCTAATTATATTTTAGATCTTTTATATTTAAAATGAGATGTTTATATTGTATTTGATTATGTTTATCTGCAGTTAGTTATATGAATTCAGATATAAAACTTTAATAAGTTGTACTTACACACAATCTCCTTGCAATCTTGAGTTTTGAAAAATATGCATTAATAAAAAGTACTTTATATATAAAAAATTATTTTTTAAAGTTTTTTTTAAATGTTTTTGTAATATAATACATAGATAAAAAATAGATATACAAAAGTAACGACGGCTGACATTGTGGCAATACACTCCGTTGGCTGGCCAGCCAGCCAGCCAGCCAGCCAAAGAGTATTGACGCTTTACTGACAAAGAAAGAAATCATATACCCTCGATCATCTTCGTCATCTCGCGATTGGGGATTCTAAAATCCTCCTAAGAAAAACTTGGAAATCAATGGAGTCCGAGTTCCATCAAATTCTTCCATGAATTTCGATTTCCCTCAACCCTATACAACAATAATGTCAGACAATGAGGAAAACGCCCTCGGTGACTCACATACGAGCTCCCGCTCGGTAACGGAGACTGTCAACGGTTCCCACCGGTTCGTAATCCAGGGGTATTCATTAGCCAAGGGTATGGGTATTGGAAAACACATCGCCAGTGATAATTTCACGGTGGGAGGGTTTCAGTGGGCTGTCTACTTCTACCCTGATGGGAAGAACCCGGAAGACAATTCGACTTATGTTTCGGTTTTCATTGCCCTTGCCAGTGAGGGCACCGACGTAAGGGCGTTATTTGAGTTGACCCTGGTAGATCAGAGCGGGAAAGGAAAACATAAGGTTCATAGCCATTTTGATCGGTCTCTGGAGAGTGGTCCATATACATTGAAATACCGAGGCAGCATGTGGTAGGTTTTTACAACATAATTGCCTAGCTTCTTTATCTGTCTAATGTTTAACCATCCTGCTGTGCAGCACAATCCTTTTCCTTGTTGTGGTGACCAGATGGTCCCTTTGATGATCCCCATGACTTCAATAGAGAAATAAAAAATTAATTCGCGGGTCGATATATTTTCTCTTGGGAAATATTTATTGGCAGTTTTAAGAGGGGTTGTGTTTCATATTAATGAAAATTATTAAGTTTGTAGGGAATGTAGGGCTAGTTTCTATCTATATGGATAATGGGAAGATTTGATTTTGTTGTGCATGGCCTTTAGTTGATTAATTCTTAAACAGTAGGATTATATTTGTGTACTTCTGGTTTTAACTTTGGTTTGGGGATGTGTGGCTTGGATATTTACAATTGAGGTAATTGAACTTAAACCTCTTGAGGTTTTATTAAATTCCCCACAGGAGCTCTTTCTAGGGGTCTAAATTTATTTGAACGAGCAATTAAGTTTCATATTGCACTCTTGCAATTTGAGTATCTTTCAATATTTGTTTTGCAGTATTACTTGAACAATCAAATTGCATATTAGATTAAAGATGGTTGGTAGCAAGGTGACTGCTGAAAACCACCTTATGTTACATGTTTAAAGTTAGGCTACCTACCTGACGAGCTTACATGTATTCATGCCACAACATTTCAGTGTATGTTAACATTATTGTATGTATGTGCTCTTGAAGCAAGATTTGTCATTTTTTGCTCACTTTGGATTCCCATTAGAAGCTTGGCACCTTGATGGAGAAATTATAGTCCAAATGGGTGGTTTTTGTACAGACTTAGCATAAAATGCACATATGAATAGAAAACCATGAATTCACAGTAGTAATTTAAATACTACGACAACCTGGAAAAAGAATGTTGGAAAGTTAGTTAGGGGTAACGGATCCACAGGCCACTCAACTATGCACTTCACTATATCTACAGTTGGTGCCAACTATGTCCATATGGTAGATTGGATTATGTCCTTATGGCTCTTTTTTTATCAAAGACAAGCATGGATTATGTATATACATGCACACACATAAAACAATGACCATACCCATTGCCTATCATGGACATCGACTTTTACATCGTTATTGATAGTTGCTTGACTCGGCGCATGTCATTGTTGTTTTCCAATTTTACGAACATCGACGTGGTGCTGGACATTAACACACCTTTCTGCTGTCATTGTGACCTCTACGGTTGTTGGGTATTTGATGTGCTTGATGGCTTTGTAATGGCATAAGGAGTTTGTTGCTTCTTGTCTTATCCCTAGAAGGTGTCATAAATTGACCTTGGATTTGAGTTGCCACGAGCTTCATCGGCGTGAAACATTACATGGCTTTACGGAAGTATATTAGGTTCGAGGGTGTGCTTCTAACTTGTTGATTATTTTTTTTACTTTCTTGGTTCTTGCTTTAATTGGCATTTGAGGGCTTTCCTTCACTTTAGCTGTGTATTGGATATTGATCCATGGTGATTTCGGCTTTTGCTTGCTATGAAGGTGGGGTAAATAGGTACTAGAGTGCACTTGAAGTTAAGTTTCTGATTTATGTTTCTTCAACATCATCAATAGAGTTGTTTCGGTGAAGTTAGAAGACACAATCACTTAGATAATGCATGGAGAAATTAGATAATGGAGATCTGTTGAGTACCTATGTTGTTTTTGACATGGGGATCTTTTGTTGTCTAAGCATTAGACACATTTGGGTGAGATTGTGGAGTGATTTGGGTCACATTTCATTCATTTGTACTCAGATGATGGGAGGCCAAGTCATATATTCCAGCTTTTATTAAAGGATTCTTTTCCAAGTTATTTTGGTATCACCGTTATAGAGTGTACTTGCTTTTACTTGAGATTTTTACATGCTTGAGGATTTCTAGCTACACATTGCACAATTAGTCACTTGTCTTTGTAGTTTGTAGATAAGAAACTTGAAAAGGTTCATTGAGAGGAGGTATATTAGGGACTCTAGGGAGAGGCTTTGTTGTAGAAATTAGTGATGGATCACTTTTGGGATTTAATAAGAGGACATGTTGAGTTCATTTATTTGGTATTACTTGTAGCTAATGGCTTAAACAAACCCATGTGAAGATTTATTACATGTTGAGTTATTACTTGCACCGATACTACTATAATTTAACGTAGTGAGCTCAATTTGATCCGCACATTTGTCTTTCATGGGAGTCTTTTTTTGGTAGTGTTAATGTTGCACATGCGGGTAACTTACCAAGCATCTCCTACGTCATAAGTTGTTATGAATATACCCCCCCAAAACATATGGTATTTTTCTAAACTTATGTACTGGTTATAGTATTTTGGTCGGTGGCTTGGGAGCTACACAAGAACTAAGTTATGCCAAAAAAAAATTGGATTTTTATATAGGCCTATCTTTCCATAGAATCTCTCATCCATTATAAGATCCATAAAAAAGTTAAATACCCTATTCATCTTCTTTCTCACACTTTTTATTATCTACTAGAAGGGTACTCACGCAATGCAGCGAGATAAATCTACATTTTGATGTTTACTTTTAATTCTTTGTCTCTATCGATATAATACGATTTTATGTGGCTTTGAGAAAACGATAATGTTTTTATTTTTGAATGAAATATAAATTTGAGGATAGCATAAACATTTGAAAAAAATAAAATCGATATTAGTATCAAATTAACTATTTAATAGTTATCCTTTTTTTGGTGTAACTTCTTTAATTCAATTTTTATTATAATTTAATTTAGATTTAATAACAAGTTAATTTATTTTTGGTTTAATAATATAATTTTTTATAAAGATAATAATTAAACATTCTGTTAGAACTCAATGATTATCTTAATTATATTTTAGATTTTCTATATTTAAAATGGATGTTTATCCTGTATTTGATTATGTTTATCTGCAGTTAGTTAAACGAATTCAAAAATGGAGCTTTAATAAGTTTTACTTACGCAAAATTACTTGTAATTTTGAATTTTAAGTAATATGTATCAATAAATAGTACTTCATGCATAAAAAATGGTTTTTAAGAGTTTCTGTCAAATGCTTTATAATATTTTATTATTATCTATAAACAAGTGACTTGTCAAAGATTGGAACAAGTTATGAGTGTCGTGGACTTTATCGACTAGATGGTTATGACCATGTTGTGGATCTAAGTGAGAGTAGCATCTAGGATACCTGCAATCAATAAAGACATCCTTCTCTTCAATACATGAAGAGTTATGGCCAAGGTTTACCTGTTTCGAATTTTTTTGTGCAAGTCGTGTCAAATGCATGGAGATAAGTCTTATATTCATATATGGTTTGAGTGTAGTTCTATGAATATTAGTTGCTCGTTCCATTATACATGCGGTTTTCTCTAATAGAGCGTCTTGGCAGTTCAAGTATATTGTTTTATTCGTTGATTGAATTTTTTGAAGTTAGATGGATTTATATATTAGAACTTTGTGCTTAAAGTTTTCTAATATTTCTTGAATTTTGTGCTTTATGTTTGGGACCAAGTTGGTACTTTAGTCAAAACCATATGTAGTGACATCGCAAAGAAATACTTTTATCATATATTACCAAGTTTTGGTGATTGTAAATGGTATACATCACACACGGAATTGTAGCATTCCCCCTCATGGTTTCAAGTCATTGGATTAGCTGTGTGGCATTTGCCAAGTATTTTTATTTCTCGAGTATTTTTATTTCTTGGTGATCTTAAAATTTTGGGTTGAGTTGATCACTGGCGATGACATTTGTCCTCGTTGAACAAACTAGATGTTAGGGCAGTTGTATCTTTGCAGGGTACTCTTTAGCCTTAGTAGGCACATAATTCTTGTCTTAACGGATATTCTTTCCCTAGCACTCATGCTACCTTAGTTAAATCAACTTCAACTAAAAAGTTGTGTTATACCAATGTTGTGATTGGAGGCTATGAAAATGAGAGAGCAAACACATCTGTAGCATTATAACATAGGGCATTTATGTCTTTATGAGTGTTATGTTTATTTGTGTTTTCTTATTGGGTGTTATAAGTCTTGGGCTCTTGGCCCGCCCACTACTGCACTCTATATATTTTATTGTTTTGCTTGATGATAATAACGATCTTCCAAAGGTTTTGGCCTATGATCCACTATTGCACCGTATATAATTGTGGCTCTGCTTGATGGAATACAGATCTCCTAAAGATTTCTTTCTTTGTTTGTCTTAGAAAGCATTTGGACGCTAAGTATCACCATTGAATTCCTATCAGTTACTTGTGTGGGGATTCTAGCCTTCATAACTGCTTTTCTTTTCCTTGATGCCAAGAACACAATATGAAATAGTTATGTTGTGTTTGCTTAGCTAAGCTTTACTCTTCTGGCTCTTCTTTTCAAACATGTCCTTCCTATTTGTCTGTGTGTTAAAACCTTTTGTTAGGAGATAGAATCAAGTTAAAATTAGAGTTCTATAGTCCGTTCATCAACTACTCTGTTTTATATATTATTTTTAGGGGTCTTCCCGAAGTAAGACATATTCTCTGAACCCTAAACGTTAGAATTACGACTTTACTCGATGAAGTTATAATTCTAGCACTCCTGAAGGAATTTGTGATGTTGACGTGCTTTTCAATTTCCTGTTGACTTCTCTTCTATTTGTTTAACTAGAAGCCACCTTACTGTTTTGGGCCCTTTTGGTCAGGGGATACAAGCGTTTTTACAGACGAGCATTGCTAGAAACTTCAGACTATCTCAAGGACGACTGCTTGAAGATTAATTGTACTGTAGGAGTGGTTGTTTCTGCAATAGACTGCTCTAGGTTACATTCAATCCATGTCCCAGAGTCTGATATTGGATCACATTTTGGTACTTTGCTGGATAATACAGAAGGTACAGATGTTACCTTTAATGTGGCTGGAGAAAAGTTTTATGCTCATAAGTTGATATTGGCTGCTCGATCCCCTGTATTTCGGTCTGAATTTTTTGGACAAGAGGGGGATGACCATGAGATTGTTGTTACTGATACCGAACCAAAGGTTTTTAAGGTAAGCGCACCATACTTGTGATTACTCCTGCCATTGTGGAAGAATAGCTGCGTAGCTGAAATCAAGGAACAATATTTATATCATTTGGACTTAGTTGGACTAATCTTTAGTTTTTCTTGTGTACACACGAAGGTTTCCTATGTGGAACCTGCAAGTCTTATGTGATATATGTAGTAATAGATAAAAAAAAACATTTAGGATAGATGAAGTGTCAGTATAATGTATGTTTGATGAAAGTATATAGGACACTTGTTCGTTCACAAGTACTTCCCTCCAGTTGGTTCTTTTGTATATCAAGGGTTGCCTGATGAAGGATGGTGATTTGTCTGTTCACTAGACATGCAACCTGTTCCTTTTGTTCTCCTTAGATCACTTGCATATTTTCAAATACTTCTGCACACATTCTTACGCTTCTCACCTTAACTCTCTTTCTCACACGATTCTTCGCCTTACATTAAACATAAATTCAAATTCAAAAATTCACTTGTTCTTTTCTCCACCTTCCCTGAATTTTTTTCCATATGCAACAGGCTATGCTTCACTTCATTTACAGAGATTCACTTGTGGAAGATGAGTTGGTGGCTTCTAATTCTCCTTGTGAATCCTCTGTATCTGATACACTAATAGCCAAGTTATTAGCTGCTGCTGATAAGTATGATTTGAGTAGACTCCGACGCATGTGCGAGTCTCATCTCTGTAAGGATATCTCTGTAAACTCTGTTGGCAGATCTCTTGCACTTGCAGACTGTCATCATGCCATACAATTGAAGGCTGTTTGCCTCAGATTTGCTGCTGAAAACCTTGCAGGTATTTTGTCATCAACCTTTTGTTATTATTGCTTCTCAATCTGATCTATGCTTTGTGCAAAACTTTCCCACTACATAAAATGAACTTACAATGTATTTCTAGTTCTGTTTCCCTTTGTGTCATCAGATCCCATTTTCCAGCATTAATGTGTTGGGCTAGCTTGATGTTAGTATGTTATGCAATTATAGTATTGTTTGGCATCTTTATATTGATTCTAGCAGATGGTAGCATCTATGAAAGATTTGCTTAAGCTATTCATTATTCCCTAGTGGTCAAATTGGAGTGACAACAATATTTACTAAATCTTGTAATTTTTATTATTCCTTTTACATTATTAAAAATACAAACGTGACATGCTACATTCATAGACATGATGACTAAATCATGTGAAATTAGTACCTTCATCACTTTTCTTGATTGATCTTTCAATGGCTCAATCATTACACCCTGGTTTAGCAACTTTGATATGTAATATATCATCCTAATTGGTTGGGGTGTGAAAAGATGAGCAAACTTTAGAAATTGCAACAAGGTTAACAAATTGTGGAACAACTCGGAAAATTAGTGGCATCACACACTCTCCTATCCTTAAGCCCATTGCCTGTTATGAACCCCGTTGATTGAATTTTGTTCTGTCTGTTCATTGTTATCCCTGCTCAGTTGTTTATATTGGACATCATCTAAACATCTCAATTGATCTTTTCTCATCCCCCCCGCCGCGGAGGTAAAGATAGTGGCGTCTCTATCTGTTTCAAAACACACCCATTTTAATTAACTTCTCTTGTTTGATCATTCGTCCATTCAACCATTCTGCTACACCAACTTTATCTTGGCTGCCAATATTTAACCTCATTAAAAATAACAACACCTGCCATTATTGATTTTTTCTCTTGCCGTCAAATTTTGTGGGATTTTGTCTGGTCACTCAAGACCATGATGCATGTTGTCACTTCATCCACCCTGGTCATCCTGTTCTAATGCTCTCACCTCTCAAGCCTTGTGTAATTTCAAGTCTTATGACAAGGGACATAATGGGGGAGGGTGTCAAAGTGTCCAGGTATGTTATCTTGGATATGATATTTGAATATTGAATAATACCTGCATTTGAAGTATTATCACAGGCGTCATTTGTTTGTATCTTTGAAATCGTTCTTGAATCTGGAGCATATGGTGATGTACATTACATCCTACTGCAGTATTATTTGTCATAAATTTATGGTGCATCAACATATTTTTCTCCAGTTGGTCAACTTATACGTTTTTGCTAACTCTAGGAATATATGGTTTTGCACTTTTCTCTGTACGCCCGAGTCCACACTTCAATCTGTAAACATGCCCCTTCCGTGCCAAAGAAAAGTAGCACTATGTTTTGGAGTGTGTTAAAAGATAACAACATCAATTTTTCTTGGAAAGGTTCTAACCCATAATTACTTGCCCACTAGGAAGCATTACAAGATATTGCTGAGACAATATTGGTCTTATTAAGGAGTAATTTAGGGTTTCTGATTATTAGTTATAGACTTGTTGTAACTATGTGCCTAGTCAAAAGATAGAATGTGAATACTAGCAAGAGTTTGGTATACTCAGAGAGAAAAGAGGCTATATTTGTGCACATACAAGAGTCTGACCCTAATCCTTCGATTGAGGTAACAATTTCTTATTTTCTAATTTGCAAGGTGAAGTAAGGAATATGTTAATGTAAAAGATTATAACTTACCAATTGCCATTAGAAAACGAATCAGAACATGTACAGAGAGGCTATATGCACTCTCCTTTCAAAACTTCAACCATTCCTAAAACCTTTTCTAGAGGCATTGTTTAATGAAAATTGGAAAAAGTCATGGGTGTAGAAATGAAAGCAGTAATTGATGGGGAATGAGAAATTAAAGATGAAATTGATACAAAAATTCAATGGAGGAAGGAGGCTGTTTGATTGAAAATTGAGCGAAAGGAAATTACACGCAAACTTTCCAGGGAATCTTCCATTCTCGTAGCAATAAGGCTAGATCCAATTATCAATAACAAAAAACAAAAGATGTCCCTCATACGACACCTCCCCTCCTCTATAAAACTCTCTCCTCCAACCGTTTTAGCCACTTTCAGATTGCCTCTTTTTAGCCCTTCTTTTATACGTCTTTAACACTTGAGGACTGTGGATTATTTTATCTCGATCCCTATCATTACTCCCCTCTTCCAAACAAATCTTGTCCTCAAGATTTTCATTCAGAAATTGGTTTTGAATTGTTACTGCATCTTCCCAAGTCGCTTCATCCACAGATTGCCCCTTCCATTTGATAAGCCATTGTAAGACTGTGTCGTGCTGAACCAGGACTGTACGTTCAACCACATCACGTTCTAGGACCGACACATCCTCAACAGTTGCTTCTAGTTCTGGAGGTAAGATTGATTCTACCTTGTCAGGAGACACTGCCTTTTTAAGCAACGAAACATGAAAAACAGGATGAACACGTGACTCTGGAGGAAGTTGAACTTTATAAGCCACTGGACCTATTCGCTCCATCACTTGAAAAGGCCCAAAGAAACGCGCGACTAACTTTTGATTGATACGTTGGACTGCCGTTATTTGAGGATACGACTTAAGCTTAACGTATACACATTCCCCTATTCCGAAGCTAACATCTTTCCGTTTCTTATCAGCTTATTCCTTCATAGCTAATTGAGAATTACTTAAATGAGCTCTAAGCTGTTTAATTGCCTCATCATGATCACGAAGTTCTTGCCCAACGGCTTCCACCCTTCTCCAGGAATGAATTGTACTACCGATGGTGGTTTCCTTCCATAGACAGTTTCAAACGGAGATTTGCCTGTTGAAACATGGAACGAACAATTGTACCAAAATTCGCCCCACGGGACCCAGGATGACCAAGACCGCGGTTGGTCAGTTGCAAAATAGCGGAGATATGATTCTAAGCAGCGATTTATTTCCTCTGTTTGACCATCAGATTCCGGATGATATGCAGCACTCGTGCAATTTCGTGCCCTGCAATCGAAAAATCTCTTGCCAAAAATGGCTTTAGAAAGAGAGGGTCTCTATCACTTACTATAGACTTTGGAATTCCATGATGTCATATAACTTCACAGACAAAAATTTCAGCCACAGATCGTGCTGAATAAGGATGTTTTAACTGGATGAAATGACTATACTTCGAGAGTCTGTCAACCACTACCAAGACCGCATCAAATCCTTTTGACTTGGGTAATCCTAGGATAAAGTCCATAGATAAGTGTTCCCAAATTGCTTCAGGAATTGTGAAAGGTTGTAACAATCCTCCCGGAACAGTGGAACTGGCCTTACAACGCTGACAAACGTCACACGCTCGCACAAATTGTTAGACTCTTGCTACCATTCCCGACCAATAAGGGTTGGAAGCCAATCTTCGATAAGTCCGCAAATACCCAGAATGCCCTCGTGATGCAGTGAGGTGAAATTCAGATAACAATACCGGAATGAATTTGGAAGTTCGTGGAATTACCAATCTACCCTTGTAATAATGTATGCTTTGTTTAACCTCATAACCAGGGTAATCATTTGGATTAAGAGTCCATCCCTGAACAATCTTTTTCAACCCCACATCTTCTTTTGCTTCATCAATTAACTGAGACCCTTGAACCCAAATTGGTTTTGACATCAAATGACATAGTTCTCCTTCATCATCTCTTCGAGACAGTGCATCGGCAGCTTTCTTTTCTTTGCTCGGTTTATAACAAATGTCAAAATTGTAACCCAATAGCTTTGCATTCCAATTATGTTGGCCCGGGTTTGTAATTCTTTGTTGAAGCAGAAATTTCAAACTCTTTTGATATGTGTATACCACGAAATGTGTACCTAACAGATAGGCTCTCCAATGTTGCATAGCTAAGACCAACGCCATAATTTCTCGTTCATAAGCTGATTTATTCAGATTATGTTCGCTAAGCTTTACTGAAGTATGCAATGGGTTTTTGCTGTTGCATTAACATTGCACCAATTCCTGTACCCGAAGCGTCACACTCCACCACAAATGGCAAATTAAAGTCCGGTAAAGCTAAAACTGGAGCAGAAATCATCGCCTGTTTTAGCTCTTCAAAGGCTAACTGCGCATCCTGACTCCATTGAAAAACATCTTTCTTGGTCAAATCTGTCAAAGGCTTAGCTATACTCCCATAGTTTCGGATAAACTTTCTGTAATATTCGGTCAGGCCTAAAAATCCCCTTAGCCCTTTAATCTTTTTAGGAGATGGCCACTCGAGAATCGCGACTATTTTATCCCGATCCATAGCCACTCCATCTCCTGAAATTATGTGACCCAAATAATCGATCGAAGATTGACCAAAAGAACATTTCTTTTGGTTGACCACAAACTGATTGGTCATTAAGATGTGCAACACCTGAGTGAAGTCTTCGATATGTTGAGACCACGAAGAACTGTAAACCAATATGTCATCAAAAAAGACCCCCACCAATTTACGAAGGATAGGTCTGAATATGTCATTCATAACCGCCTGAAAGGTGGCTGGAGCATTGGTTAAGCCGAAAGGCATCACCAAGTACTCATAATGGCCATCATGAGTTCTGAAAGCCATTTTCTCAATACTATCAGGTTTCATACGAATCTGATTATAACCCGATTTTAGGTCAAGTTTAGAAAAGAAGTGAGCCCCTCGTGATTCAGGTCAGCCCAAAAACGCAGCTTGATCAGTACCCCAAAAATTCAATCCAGGTCCCGTGTGATACCGGAAACGATATTGAGAATTATTTCCCAACGAAGGACGAAACATCTCCACATCTTTCGCCAAATACATAGCATCTAAACGAGATTTGGGTCGGTGTAATCGTACCCATTGTTTGACGTCATCACGTAAATCCGCCAGAAAATATCCCAACGATTGTTCTTTCGATAACCGAGGGACTAGGGATAACAGATATTCAAAATCATCAATGTAATCATGCATAGAGGATACCTGTTTGATTGTTGCCAATTTTTCAAAAGGATTCTGGATATCAAGACCACTGAAACTTTGGAGAAGTTCTTTGGTTAGTTGGTCCCAAGTAATTGCTTCATAAACTTGCTTCACAATAGTAAACCAGTGAACTACTACCCCCGTCATGCTTAATTGCGCGAGTCGGATCCGCAATTCGATGGGAGTATTGTTGATTTCGAAGTATAACTCAGCCTTTTGGATCCATCCCTGTGGATCGAAACCAGAGAATTCTGGCATTTTCATCTTCTTCACAACCCACGGAAGAGTGTCCGGTTGAGATGGTGATCCACCTTGAGAGTGAATGACACCTCTGGGCAAAACCGAAGAACCCCATGAAGAAGACGTATGTAAGTTGGGAGAATTACTAACAACGCCCTGAGAACCATTGCCATCAAGAGAAGATTGTTTATCTTGTTTTGCCACCCACTCGATGACGAACTTTCGGAATTCAGCTTTACTCTTCATCTCGGTTTCAATAGCTTGCACCGATGTTTTAATCTCCAAAACATCCGATTGCAGCTTCTGAATCTGTTCCTCCCTCATGTTGATCTACACGATTTTGCTGAGAAGGTGTCTCCATTTGAGGCATCGGAAGATCACAAGCAGGTCGGAGCAATGATGGGTAATGAGAAATTAAAGATGAAATTGATACAGAAATTCAATGGAGAAGGAGGTTGTTTGATTGAAAATAGAGCGGAAGGGAATTACACACAAACTTTCCAGGGAATCTTCCCTTCTCGTAGCACTAAGGCTAGAGCCAATTATCAATAACAGAAAACAAAGACACCTCCCCTCCTCTATAAAACTCTCTCCTCCAACCATTTTAGCCACTTTCGGATTGCCCCTTTTTAGCCCTTCTTTTATACGTCTTTAACACTTGAGGACTGTGGATTATTTTATCTTGATCCCTATTAGTAATAATTGCTAAGATTTAGAGTTTGATGGAGCTGTCAACATGAAAAAAACGAAGTGGGTTGCAAGTAGGTTTATGCGTCCAGATATAAAGTAGTTGACGGGCATGTTGAAAGGACCAAAGCAAAACATGTTGCAAAATGGTACATCCAAACTTACATGATTGACTATTTAGAAACGTTTGCTCTCGTGGCTAAACAAATTACAGTTGGAGTAATTTTATCTCTTGTTTCTAACCTTCGTTGGGAACTACAACAGTTAGATGTGAATAAAACGGTTTTGCATGCGATCTTTAGAAGGATATATGCATTGAGGTGCCTATAGGTTATGGAGTAAAAGTGACCACAGATGCAATATATAAAATGAACAAAACTTTGTATGGATTGAAGCAATCTCTTTGAGCTTGGTTTGGAAAATTTGCAATGGTTATGTTAGGTATGGGATATATGCAAAGTCCTACATTGTTTATTAAGCATTTAGCCTTGTTTTTCCTTTTTTTTTTTTGGGGGGGGAGGGGGTGTTTATAGTATTGCCATGACACATGGATGACATCATGATAATGCGAAATGATGAGTAAGGAGTTGTTAGTAATTACGTAGGTAAGGAATTCGAGATCAAGACTTTGGGAAGGTTGAAGGATATCGTAGGAACAAGAAAGTACAAGGCGACACAGTACAAGAGATGGATTTTTTATATCCTAACAAAAGCATGTCATCAATGTGGGCCAAGAAGAACAATAAACCTACATGTATACCTAGAGGTGCACAAGGGATGGTCCTTAACGGGTCCAAAAAAGACTGGGCCAAAAATTACCGCGTCAGGCCTTAACTGATCTTTGGCCAAAATATTAGGACCAAATCCGGGACCGGTCCTAGCTGATCCTAACCGGTCTTTTTGGGTTTAACCGATCCTTAACCTGACCGGTTTTTGGTTAACCAAGGACTAGTTTTTGGGCTTTTTCCGGGCTTTCTTTAACTGGTTAAGGACCGGTCCCAGGTAACTGCTCCTTGGGTTGGGTCTTTTTAACCAGTCCTTGGGCCGGCTTTTTTTAACCGGTAATTAGTTCTTATCAGTCCAAAACCAGTTAACTGGTCTTTTTTGCATCTCTATGTACACCAATGGATCCAAATCGTAAGCTAGGAAAAGCATATGAAGATGTTCTGATGGACAAGAACTTGTGTTTGTGTCTTATAAGGGGTAGAAGTCAGTGTAGGGTAGCAAAGCCAACCCCTAAAAGGACAGCTCTAAGTATCTAGGCTCTATGATTGAGATTTGAGAGTAAGGCTGAGATTGTGGATCATGTTATTCACTGCAGACAGGGAGGATGGTTAAAATAGAGGGCTGTCACTGGACTGTAGTGTGAAAAAGGTCCTATTGAAGGGCAAATTTTATAAGGTAGCCATCAGACCAGTTATGTTGTGTGGCTCAAAGTGTGGGGTGATAAAGAAGACGCATGAGAGGAAGATGGAATGACTGAATTTTGGATAACAGGACGAAGCATTTCGAGGTAGAAATGCATTTTGTGAGGAACCAATTTTTTCCAACCATACAATTAGTTTCATCTAAGGCTAGAATTCAAACTATTGTGTGACAATGTGAAACTATGCATGTTTCACGGTTTCAACATATTTGAAGTTCCCATTTTATTATGTCCCTATATTTTGATATGTCCATGTATACTTGTATGCATACAGTTGTATGTGTATGTATACGTTTGTATGTGTGTATATGATAAAAGTTTTTGCAGTATTGCACATGGAAGTGGACATTTCACACAAAGCCCACCTTATCAGTTTTGTAGGTGCATGATAAGTCCTAGATCCACTTATTTGTGGAGTTTGAAAGCAATTCAAGAATCAGCATTCATCCATGCACATTTAAACAAGTGTTTTATGGCAATTTAGTTTGTTGCTTATTGTTGATGTTCTCCAAATGCAGCTGTAATGCGATCAGATGGGTTTGAGTATCTGAAAGAGAACTGCCCATGGTTGCAATCTGAGATTCTGAAGATGGTAGCTGGTTGTGAAGACGGGTGTAGCAGTGGTGGTGGTGGAAAGTCACGGAGCGTTTGTGCTCAACTTTCCGATGGCGGAGATACAAATGGCAGGAGGGTAAGGCAAAGGACTTGATTGTGGTAAAAATATGATTTCTGTCGCTTGCTAGTGAGATAGTAGTGGGAAAGCATGAAATGAAACAAAGGTATAAAAAGGAAATATGTTGAAAAGGGACATGATATCATACTTTTCTTTTTCTCTGTTTTTTTTTTGGGTTTTCCATGTACAATATTTGTGTAAAACATGTTAATAATTTTTTGGATTTGTACCGGAAAACAACACATTTTCGTCAAATAATTCCTGTCGGACAAATAAGATTGCTCCATGCCGCATACGATGAATGCCTTGTAGAAGAGAGTGAATCAAGAAATTGTGGTTCATCTTCTTGACACCAACCAGTACATCAAAGTTGTTCAAATCCTCAAAGGTAATGTACATAATAACATTAGATTAGGTCCCTGTATAAATACTTAATTCAGTCATAACTTTTTCCTGAAAACAGACTTTCGTCACAACTGTCCCGTAGAAACATTGTTTCAATTCAGAACATACTTATGTCACAACTGTCCTGAAGAAACATTTGAAAACTCATTTCTTTCAAAACAAACCTCATGTCACAACCGTCTTGAAAGAACATCACAACAATATCTTTTCTAAACTTTTCAACCTCATTTGAAAAGATAATACACTTTTTGGTTATAAATGGTTTGGATACATTCTCATCGGACAACACTGTCCGAAAACCAATTTCACCAAATAAAACTTGACCGGACAATAAATCTTCATCGGGCAATACTGTCCATTTGTTAGATAAGTTAATTTTTAATATTACCAAATGCTACCTTATAGAACTCGTGATCATGAAGACACAAAATTTCAACAAGTATGTCCGACATACTAGTAGCGTTTTTTGTAATATGTAATTAGCTAAGCACCACGCTTAACAAATATATTCAAACATTCCGGTTTTCATATGAATCGACCCATGGCTTCTCTTGTTCAAATCGTAAGGCTCGAATTGGGAAACAAAATGGAAGAAGAAATAATCTCATAACAATGAAACTCACCGAACTAGAAGTAAATTGTGTTTCCTAACAAGGATGACTTATGAAACTGTTTTAGTCTATTAGGTGTAACTGGTCGCTCATGGATACCTTTTTGTACACTCTGCCTTAGAAATGGCAATATGATAAATGTAAGATGATGAAGGGGCCATTTACTAAACGTTTACCCGGTAAGTGTTTACCGGGTAATTTTCCTCACTGGATGAACATGGCAACGACCAAGAATCTTACCCGGTAAGAGCGATGATAAGGATGGAGAGTCTTACCCGGTAAGTGAGGTGACAACTCTTACCCGGGTAAGCGCTTACCAGGTAATTGTTGTATAGGATAGTTTTGATGTACTATAATCTTACCCAATAAAATAAATTATAATGTTGACTCCTAACGTTAAGCACTTATTGGGTAGACATTTATTTTTATCTGTTTTTGACTTCGTTTTATGAGAATTCATTCAGTCTATATGACTTTCTCCAATATTGTTAGGTCAAATATTATTGTATCCGATATCATCCACTTTAAAGATTGAAGAGGTCAAAGCTTAAAGTCAATATAGTCAACAAAAGTCGACATTGTGATTAGTTGTAGTTTGACTTGTATGTTTAGTCAATCGTATAAATAGCTTGTTAATGGTAGTTTGTAGTAAGAACTCATATTGTAATATTCTAGAGAGAAATTGTAGAGAGAGAAACATGTATTAAGAGAGTTTATCAATATACATGATGATTTGATCTTAAAACTGGGTTTAAGAATTGGTATCAGAGCAAATTTAATTTGATTTAAAGAAGATTTGAGCAAAATTTTCAAGTTTTTCATGTTTTCTTGAAAAACGTACTGTTTTGATCTTGATTTTGATGGTTTTGATGGTTTTTGTTTAATCTTTTCATACAAATCTATTTGAAACACATTATAGATCATTCCTGTGAATTTTCATCATCAAATTTAAAGATTTGATCGATCAATTTAAAGATTTTGTGAATATTTGGACTGTTCGAACTTGAGTCTCTTGAGCAAATTGATCAATTCTTGTTATTTGACTCAAATTTGATGTTAATTGTCTTAATTAAAGTTGTTTATACACATATTTCGACATCCATAATCAAGGTCTAATCATGATTTGTAAAGTTTTTGTGATTTCTGGTTCAATTTGATCGCGATTCAAGTATATTGCAAGTTATGAAGATTTGAAGATCTATCGCATAGTTGTGTGAGATAGTTCACTATATCGCACCGGTGGGTGCGATAGTTGACTATATTGCATCAGTTATCTCCGATAGTTGGAGTACATCACATAGTTAACTTTTATAGTTGGAGTATCGCACAAAGCTTCTGCGATATAGTTACTGTTCCTTCTTATTGTGCAGGATAGTTGACAAAGGTTATGTGATAGTTGACTTCATGCGATAGTTGAATTTAGAATTTGACTTGTTTTTTTGGAAAAAAAGTTCTCGGGGCATTGCCGCCAGACCCAGCAAGGGCGTTGCCCCTTGACCCCACCCGCTAACCAAGTAGCGAGATCCCTGTGCTAAGTTGCAGTAACGGGGACACTATTCATTTTGAAATTTTCAAATCTTTTGATAATCATTTTGATTAATGATCATTTTGATCATGTAAAATTTCTTCTCCAAACTACGATTTACAAAAACAGATTTCTAACATAAATGACAAGATTGCAGGTTATGAATCAAGACAGACGAACAACATGGAGGTTATTCAAAATTTGTTACTGGAGGAGACTTATATTCAAGAAGATTTTGGTGTGTCATAAAAGAAAAGAAAAGAGTTGGAAGACGAAAATAATGTTTTGATGAATGACAATGTTCAACTTAAGAAAAAGATTTTTGATTTCAGAAGAAATTTGGTACCGAGAGAAAAGATTTTGTGGTTGAAAAGAGAAGTGTTGAGATTTTAAAGAAAATATTTGAACTTGAAAAGGTTTTAGATAATGAGAGAAAAGAATTTGAGAAAGAAAGAAAGATTTTTATGAATGAGAAAAACATATTTGACTCTGAAAGGGAAGTCTTTGAAAGTAAACTTAAATCTTATGAGATGACAAATATCAAAACTTCAAAACAAGTATCTGATTTTGAAAAAGTTGTTATGGAAAAGATCAAGTTTGAGATAGAAAGAAAATCTTTTGAGAAGAACAGTTTGGAGTTCATAATGCAAACTTCTGATCTTCAGAAATTTTTGGAAGTAGAGAAGAACATATTTGAAAATGAAAAGAAGGGTTTTGCAAGTGAAAGAAAACTTGTTGAGAAAAGGAATGTTGGGATTTTCAATTAGATATTTGATAAGAGAAAGAGTTTAGAACAAAATTTTGAAAGTGAAAGAAAAGCTTTTGAAACATAAATTGTAAGCTTTCAACGAAATTATTTGTATTAGAGTCAATTTTGTGATTGAGAAGAATGTGAGATCAGAATTTAAAAATAAATGTTATTTGATTCCTAAAGAAAGAGTCAATTTGTGAGTAAAATCAAAGAGCTTGAAGATGTAATTGAATTTTCTTAAAAAAGTTCTGCTAACCAAGTTCCATTTCTTCTGAAAATATTTCCTTGCAAAAGAAAATTTGTGAACTTGAGAATGAAAAGCGCAAGTATTCTGAAGAAAGAAAACAATTTTTGAGCAAAATCAAAGAGAGTTCAGAAAAGGTTGAATTATCTGTTGGGTCTAAATGTTGTATTCAAGTCCCGAGCTTAAATTGTTTTATATGTTTTGTAATTGTTGGTTTTGTTCCTTGTAATAGATCATAAACTGGAAGTTAGTTGGTAGTTACTGGTTGATTGAATTCATACGCACAAACAGTTAACAAATAGATAGATTCTGAACTAAGAGAGAAAGAAATTGTATCAAGAACACCATGTACACATTTGATATGAATGACATGCCGACATATTGAAATCATATTCTGTGTTCTTGATCTTTGATAGAATTGTTGTTATTAGACTTGAATCTGGGATCACAATTGGTATTAGAGCCATACAGATTAATCCGGATTGGATTTTGGATCGAAGGTCCTTGCTAATTTCTTGAAATCTTGGTTCAAAACCTTCAGTTTCTGTTCTTGAGGTTTTTTATCGAATTGAGTGTGTTTAATCCATTTTTGTTGAACTGGGTTATGTTGAATTTGTTTCTGTGTAGTTTTTCCACGATTTTGTCCAAGAAATTTGATTGATTTTGCATCATTTGAGCATTTTTGGTGAATTCTGTAAATTTCTGTTTGAACTTGATGCTCATCACTCGTTGAAGGCTTCATTGGCCGATAAAAGCATTTTCATCACCTGTTGAATCTAATCTTGAAGCCTCATTGCTCAAAATTTGAATTGAATTTTTCATCACCCAAATGCTTAAAATTGATTAAGGATTCTCATCGTTCAAAGGCTTGTCCGATAACCAACCTTATCGCTCAAAGAGGTGAGTGATAAGTATTCTTCATAGACTAAGTGTTGTCCGATAAGGACTTCATCACTCAAAGCCTGTCCGATAACAAGCTTCATCGCTCAAAGGGTGTCCGATAACCCCCCTTCATCTCTCGAAGCTTGTTCGTTAAACTCTTCATCACTTGTTGTGTTGCCCGATAATCATCCCTCATCGCCCAAAGCGTGACCAGATTCCTTGGTGAGCGATAACCAGTTTGACCGATATCTTGGTGAGCGATAACCTTGTTGAGCGTAGCAAGACCCCCATGTTAAGTCGTAGGAGGGGGACTCTATTCTTGGAGATTTCCAAACCAGTTCAAGATATTTTTCTAAATGATCATTTTTCAAGTCTATTTTTAAAAGATGTCAAAGGTTTCTCAAAACATTAAATCTACATCTTAGTCACTCATGTCATTTTATTATGAAATTGAATCCTTGAATATTGAAGATTTAAGAAAAAAAGATTATGATTGAAAGATCAATAATGTCATATTTTCAAACTGAAAGTCCAGGTTATAGAAGTTTAAGTGAAGGTTTGAGAAAATAGAAAGAAATGCTCAAAAAGGAAAAATATCATCTTATATATGATCTTCAAGATAAAGTTATCACAATAAAAAAGAGTTTGAGTGAATCAAAGGGTTAGAGAGTTAACACCTGACTAAATTTTGATTGTCGTATAAAGAAAGAAATGATTTGTACTCAAATATCAATCAGTTGGAAGAAATTAATTTCAAAAGAGGTCAATCTGAACAGACTCTGAAAATTTTGACACATAAACCCAAAGATACAAGGTT